TCTGCAAAAAGCAGAGGATACTATTAAAGAAGCTGCAACGATTAATAAAAGTACTGTGGCTCCCACACCAGTCTATGCCGAGAATCTGAACCTTTCTCTGATGTGTATTTCCACAAACCTGGGTTTAGTTTATCACGCCATGAAGGATTATAAGAACGCTAGATGTATGTTCATGCAAGCTCTTGAAAAAGAAGATGGTTCAGACGATGACAAAGGTAAATTGTATTATTATATTGGTGTACTCGAATTCGAGGATGGCCTTTATGAAAAAGCACATGAGAATTATGTTCAAGCTCTCAAACTGATTAGGGACGTTAAAATGAAAGAAGAAATCAATCAGAAATTGTGCATGGTGAAAACTATGTTGAGTAATTGATGAATTGTTTATGTTAAGAATTGGATAGAATTGAAATAAATAAATAGTAGCTTTTTTTTAATCACATTAATCTATCAAACAATCACTACATTCTAAATAAGAATGTGAACATTGTCGTCAAGCTTAACTACACCTATACAATAAGGGTGTGGATGTAGGGTGTGAGTGTGCGTGGGTGTTTGATTCTTTAATTCTTTCATGCTCACACCTACCCTCTAGCTACCAAAATTGATCTACTAATCGTTCACAGCTGATTCTATATAATGCAGATCAGACTAGATTAAGTTTTAATTTAGTTATTGGTTAATACTACCTTTCAAATTTTGCTTAGACATCTCACAAGAAAAAAATTCAAGAATCACGATCGAAATCAAAATCAATCGATTAAAATTGTGTGAGATTTTCTTGCTCGAAACATTTGAGTGACTAATGTTTGTCGATTATTTTCCTCTCAAAAGATGTTTTTGATATGTTTCAAGGGAAAAAAAGACACCAAAAGTAACATATGGAAACAAACTCTCATTTCAGCTGTAATACAAAGAGAAGAGTCATCTAAGTATCCTATCCGATCAATTAAGTCGTTAATACAGTGGTTTCTTAGTGTTTAAACAATTTCGATCGAAAGCTGTGTTCATTTAATCTTTCGATATTGGTTTGATTTTATATCTGCCAATTGATTGACATTGCGCTCTCTCTCTCTCACAGTTCTACCAATTTAAAACTCGTTACTTGATAATATAACTCCAAGTCAAGGGGGGAAAAGCTGATTCTATGGTGATAGAATCATCGGAATCACTTGGAATCAATAGAATCACTCAGAATCACACAGAATCAATAGAATCACACAGAATCAATAGAATCACTCAGAATCACACAGAATCAATAGAATCACACAGAATCAATAGAATCACTCAGAATCACTCAGAATCACATGGAATCACATGGAATCACTTGGAATCACATACAATAAAACACCTAAAAAAATGCATGCCTATGCTTCTTATCAAGCTGGATCGAGCACATTTCATCACTTAGCAGCAGTTAATAAGATTTTTGTCGTTTTTTACCAAGTAGTAGAATTAATTTCATCATGTCACAACAAAGAAGCAAATTTTGTTAAGCTCGTGTATATTTTCTTCAGAAGCATACACGTGTGTAAGTTCAAATCGAGGATTTTTGCAACTTCTTGGTCCTAGCAATGGCGAGTGAGAAGGGGAGGAGAAAGTCAAAGATTATTTGGTAGGTTTCTATAGTAACGAGAAAAGGGGTGTAAACTTTAACGATGATTATATCATTCTGAAACTCTACACTCTAACTACGTAGTCTAGAAATGACAGGTTTTGTTATTTAATGCAGAGAAAGAGTGTTCTTGTAGATATCATTCAGTAGATCGATTCTATTATTCATCTAATAGAGTGAGAATAGGATGAGCACGTAAAATTACGAAATAGTTGAATTCCAAGTTTAGAAAAAACTCAACATTATATCTCACAATTTGTCAAAAGATATAATAGTGTACCAGATTCTCCATGAATGATCAAATCAATGTATATATCAAACTAATATGGTAGTTGAACAGACGATTGAAAGAATAAAATGATATGCGCACTTCATACAACATGTGTCGTGCATATTATCATTAGAACAAAAGAATCGAGGGATTGACGATGTACTGTATTTCACATTAGAATAAGCTTTTTAAGTTTAACAATATTAAATGAATTGAATAATTTGCTCGAATAATAATAATAAATGAGCACATTTTCGAAATGTTTAAATGTAAGAGCACACGTATCACCTATAAAAAGTTGTAATCGTTTTGGATGATTAATTTGTTAAATTATTTGAAGCCCTTTTACATTTTGTCTTAAGTATATGTTAGAGGGAAGATTAAAATCTCGAGCAATTTAAAAGCCCCCTAGAGAAGTCTCAGGGAAATTTAAAATTGCTCTGAATTTTAATTTTCCCTGCAACATATACAACAAACAGAGTTTCTGAGTGCCCCATTTTCACCTCTCAAGGCACAAAGTGACAAGTTTTCTGACAGTTTGTATCATATCAACGAGATTATCTAATCATTTTCTGGCACATAATGAGTTTTCCAAGTAGTTTTCAACTGATTGGGCCCAGAACGATTCTTAATCTTTTCAAAGTCAATGAAGTGAATCTGACCCAGTGAAAAATTTTCGCGATTTTCAATCGGATTTTTCTGCAACAAAATCAAAATTATAATCGATTGATAATTTTGATTATTGTTGATCACGACTTAACTATTACTTGATATTGTCACTTATTCAGTGTGGAATTATCTGATTAAAATCGGATAGTTCTGTAGCAAATCCAGGATTACCAATCGATTAATAATTTCGATTATACTGCAAAGGAATCCGATTTCAATTAGAAAATTTCGCACTAAATAAGCAACAATGTCAAATAATGGATCAGTCGTGATCAAAAATAATCAAAATTATCAATCGATTATAATTTTGATTTTGTTGCAGAAAAATCCGATTGAAAATCGCGAAAATTTTTCACTGGGGATTCACCAAGTCAGAACACCTAGAAAACTTGCCTGGCTACTGGAAGCAGCGACACCCATCTGATTGACACGTTTGAAACTGCTCTAAAATAGGGGTGACCCTTTATTTTTACTTTCCTTTATACTAAGGGACAAAGATCAAGGATTTGCTTATCTGTATTTTCTAAAGATAAAGGATTCATTTATCTTTATTTAGTAAAGTAAGACTAAATGACCACTCCTATTCTATGGCCAATGAAGATATCAATATTCTTTGATGCAGTTTGTGCAAAAACTCTTACAATTGAAAATTTCTATCACCATTGATAATGAGAAAAAAGAGAAAGTATTTGATGTATCGCGATTTCTCTTATTCCACACTTTCCGTAAATTGATTTTTTCGACATCTTTATTTCGAATAAAAATTAGCCAAAATGAAACAGATCAATACACTCTGTTTACAGTGAAAATTTAACTTTAGTTTGCCATGCCTTGGAAACATGAGGTTGTAGTGAATTTTATAACCTAGCAATTGTAGAGTGAATCGGATTCTACTTATTGTTTCCCAGAACTCAATAATCGCAATACTATCGGATTCTTTTGGATTCATAAAAGCGTACATTTTAATAGCATATCAAAGAACTCAATTAGTGCCAGACAAATTGCAACTAGGCGGTGAGAAATAGGGAAATGTAGAGAGTCGACAACTTCTATTTCTAAAAGCATCTATGATAGGCATGGAGTGCTCCCTTCTACAGCTAAAATGAAGAATTGATGCCTTTTTTAATTTAACTGGTTGGAATTTCTGCTCAGCTATCACCTGTCAGGTTCGATTTCAACGAAAAACCTATATTTTGTTTCATTTCATTGATATTCAATGGCTTTATGTTACTTAGTCGCGCTCGTAAGTCATACGGTCGGGTTCTCAGAGTGGTGCACTAGCCTGAAGCCAATGCAACATCATCCTTATATATTCATGTTTTTGTGTTTTGGTATTCTGTGTGGGCAAGCTGTAGAACATCGTCCGCGATGCTCTTAGGATGAGCGACAGAGTATTTCTTACGGAACGTTCTCTCCATGCATACAACAGGGAATGTATGCATTTTTTAGCCTAACTGGTAAGGACGGCAACGCAAATAGCCGGAAATATGTAGTTCCAGTCCCGTAAAGTAGTTCTCGTACTCTTGGTTATGCTGTTGTTCCATCACAATCCTTGGTCCGTCTTGAGAGTCACAAATAGCAATACCCCTAACGGAGTTTATAGAATATCGTGTGGTCCTGAACTTTTTAGGAAGAGTTGATACTAATATGCATAAGGTGGCTATCTTTTGCGTTTGGTACAGCAAGCAAAATGAAACCTTAAGTCAGCTACTTGAACACTCAGACTATTTCATACTTCTTGAAATCTACTATCTGCACGATCTTCTGCTTCCTGATATTCCATATTTCAGAGTTTTCCTCTTCATACCATCGAGCTTTCACAAACTGTATATATTAACAATGAGCTCCCGTTTAGAAAACGAGGCAGCAGTTGTAATCAGGATGAAAAATAATGAAAAATCGAGAAACAACAGTAATCCAATTTCTCTCACGATTTAATGTTGATTTCAACTAGATGTAACATTTTGAGATCATTACCGGGCGAGAAAGTTCACTTATGGTCTGTAATCCTTTGATTGACCGTCATAAAATAATGAAACAAACCTCATTGGCCGGTTAGATATCGGTCCATTGTGTGATTTGATTGTTGTGAAATGAAAAATAATTTACTTTTGTCTAAGATTCAGCAATATCGAGAATGCATTGTTTGTGCTCGACTTATTGACTCTTACGACGATGAGTCAGCTGTTTTCCTTATTGATTGGAATGATCAGGAATCTTCAGAACTCATCTCTCTAATGATTCTATGATGTTTCTATTGATGTGACGGTATCACAGTCGAGAAAAACAATGATATTCATAGTGATTCCAGAGTCAGTGGAATCATGTAGAATCACACGGAATCACGTGGAATCACATAGAATCAATAGAATCACATGGAATCACGGAATCAGTTTTTTCCCCCTTGAACATAACAATATACTAAAAGTCATTCTAGGTGGAACAATGTCCGTTGCTAGCCGAATTATTGAAGGTACATTAACATATGATGAATCATTAATAACGATCGAAGCATATGCCAGTTGAAAAAACTGTTGGCTCACAAGTGATTGGTGATAGAAAAAATTTCAATGAAATGTTATGGATTCGTGCAGCATAAGTTGATGATGAAACAGCACTTTAACAAATAACTCAATTAGTTGAAGGAGTACAAACATCAACATCACCTATACAAGTATTAGCTGATAAAATTGCAGGTTATATTGTTTCTATTATTGTTGATTTTTCATGTTTTACATTAATCTACTGGATTATTATTGATTATACTCATTTTAATCATATAGAAAAAGATTCAATGGTTTGGATTTTATTTCATTTTTTTTTCTCTTTAATATGATTAATCGAATTTTTTTTAGTATCATCATTCTATGATGGGGCATAGTCAACAAAAGAAACTAAGTCGAATAGAATCTGCATTTGAACTAGTTTTTCGTTTTACTGACACGATTCTTTCAATTGTTTGTTCTCGTACTCTTGGATTTGCAACATCAACAATTGTTATGGTTAGTACTGGCCAGTAAAGTCTTGAGCTAATGTACTCTTTCAATAATAAAGACAACTAATATTTTTTTAAGTCTATCATACATGCGTCAGGTATTAGGTCACAAGTTTGATCATATCAAACTTATTGATAATAAAAAAACTGAATCCAATCAATAGATAAACGTATGAAATAGTTCATTTTTATTTAAGTATAATAATTATGAATAACCATTAAAAGCTGCTTGAAAAGTTCGTACAATTGTTTTTTGATAAAATAGGTACAATAACTCAACGTAAATCAACATTGGTCGAAACACGTTTATTTCTTTCAAATGATTCTTATTGAACATTAAAATGAATGTTAGAAATAGCTGATACAACTGAAAGTGATTCTGAACGTCCATTGAAGATTTTAATGCTATTCGAAGTTATGATTTAAATGCAAAAGTAAATGGCATTGAACTTTTAATAAACAAAAATATTGTATCAAATGATATAATTTATTTCATATTAATTGAAAATCGAGAATGCATGGATAGAAATAATATTTATGTGACGAATGAAATTGATTTAGCCATGTCAAAATATGAATAGATTGGATACAGTACTGTATTAATTGCTGTTGATAGTAAAAAAAAGAACAAAACAAAGAATCGTTGAAATTTTTGTTTTATTTTTAAAATTTATATTTTAGATACAATTATTGGTATGATTGCAAGACCTAAACGTATAAAATTTAGAGCATCATTGATAATCTTTACTCTACAATCGATGGATTTTAGTCTCTTACTTGTTACTGATGATAATGTTACAACTGTTCATGATATAGCTACACAAGTTAGTAAATATAAAAAAAGCATATACTGAAGTTTAACCTATACAAAAACAACGTTTTATTGCTATTTTAAAAGAAAATATCATAAACTAGATATGCTATTGACGTATATATGACAATCATGAATTTATTTTTAGTCAATGAAAAAAAAAGAAAAAATATTAATGTTCATGGTAGAATTGATAATCTTGAATAAACACCAAATGATTCATTTATTTCAAGTTTACATGTACACTAAAATAAAATTTGTCGCATGTGTCACACTTATTATGTGTCAGATCTCTTGCATTCTCCGCTTGCCAGCATATAACAACCAGCAGAAGCGCAAGAGATGCGACACATTTTATTTTAGTGTATGATAATTGTTTAGCACAGATCTTTTCTAGTGCTACATTAACTATAAAACACTAAGCATCACATTGATTTATTATTATAAAAAAAAAGCAACATTATTACTTAAACAGACCTTGCAGCGGTCCTGATTTTTGGTGCTTTTCGAAACTAAGTAATTTCTCTTGAGAATTTCGGTTTAGTCTCAGCGGAGACGTTTCAGAAATTCTGTCTCTTGATGAACTGAAAAATGTCGGTGAATATATGGCAAAATTCATCTTTTTATTACAAAATTCCTATAGAATCTTGTGTTATTATTCAGTAACAAAAAAAAAAAGAATAAACAAACACAAGTTAGTTAGTAGATCTGAAATTTGAGAGTCCGATGAATCATTAACTCTTCTCGTTAGATTGCTGTCAACGAAGATCACGAGAGACCTTCTCAAGGTGTTCCCTTGCTTTTGATATGACATTTTGGCTATATGTTGGAGTCTCTAGACTCGAATAACCTTAAGTTGGCTCATTTGTCTGAGCATTTGGGGCTGAATTATTATGGATTCTAGACTTATGACATCAGATTATCTGCAACAGCAAATATGCGGTTTTGACTTGAAATTTTGTCTATAAATAAATCTAATAACCACTAGGATACCTAAAAAGGTTCAGATACAACGAATGCATCCTTGAGATATTTAGTTTTCAAAAGCCGTCTATTTCTCAGAAAAAAATTCACAAAAATCGAAATATTTTTGATATTCAACATGGTAAGAAGGATGCTCTCGTTTTGTCTGAAACTTTTAAAGTATCTTAGTGGCGAGTATATTTATTCATAAACAAAATTTCACTTCGAAATCCGCATATTTGCTGTTGCAGATAACCTGATGTCATAGGTCCAAAATCCAATAAAATGGTCATAACTCACCCTCAAAGGCTCAGGTAAGCAAGCTAACTTACGATTATTCGAGTCTAGTCCAGCGGAAATCGTTGGGACATCATGATGATGTCCCAACAATATCCGCTTGAAACTGACGATTTCTTCTGATACTTGACCTTCTAGGACGAAATATATGCTGATTTTACAATTACCCAACGACGAACTAAAAATCATCACACTATTTCAGCGTTTTTGTTTTATCATTTCGTGCTTTGTTTAATTGTTACATTAAGACTTAAGCTAGCTATGTTACATGAATGTTATGTTTTCAAAACACTGAGACAATGGATGGACGATTTCCAATTAAAATTGTATGGTTACTGGTTTTGCGCAGGAAATGGTACGATTTCCCATTTCAAGGATGTTGTCAACTGCTGGAATAAAATAGAGAATGAATTCCATTTGACATTTCGTAATTTCTATTGCGAAGTGATGTGCATTTTCGATGAATAGTGCCTATATGTTGGGAATCCTAAT